AGCCCTTGGCCGTTTGCAGTGGCACCTGACAGGAGCATCAGGGAACATGATTAACAATGTCCTGTGCTCACCAAGACAGGCTTCTGGCCCGGCTGGATGCTGGCCGAAGACATCTGGAAAGAGCAATGCCAAATGATCCCTATTTTCCAAGAATTAAAGCAAGGTGGAACGTTTCCGAATGGAGCCTGGATGTTATTCCTGAATTCTGGGCCACATAAGGTTAGAGGCATATTGATTTTCAGTTTCAAGATAAATTGGCCATCTTTGGCCTTTCAGGAAAACAACCACAATTTTAAGTGATGAAGAACAGATGGCACACACTGAAGCCTCCACTGGAAAGCTCCAGGCGGGCTTAATTGTCAAGGTAGCCACAACCGCTGTGTCCTGCCACAGACTGACGGAAGAATGACAAACGCTTTCATGTGGCGAAGATGACCACAGCTGCTTGTCAGGGCAGAGCTGAAGCAATCGCACTTGCCGAATTCCAGGGCGGCCTCGGAGGGAGCAATTACATGTTGGAGTCAGGTTCAAGAAGACAAAAAATAGGTTAGAAGTTTTCTGAGAATTCCGGTCTGGTGGTGTCCTTACCTACAAGATGGGTGGGGCCCCACCTCAGTGCCGTCTTCTGCCTGCTCTTCCTGTGCCTCTTCTGCTTTTCCAGCAGCTTGTTTCAAACCGCAGCCCCAAAACTATGTCCTCCCTTATTGAACATGGCTTCCTGTAGGGATGATGGAGGTTAGTAAGAACTGTGCAGCTACTGAGGTTCAGTAATGTTCAGTGAGTGTACAAAGCTGGCAGAGGATGTTCAGAAAGCTAGGCCCACAAGGACCCTCCCTGGCATCATAATAAGCAAGAAGTCATCCAAGAAGGAGGAGACCAGCTCTTCAGTGGAGCTGCCTGCAAGTTGTGTCAAAACTCCAGGGATCCTCTCTCAGAGAGTGTCACCCACGATAGGAAAGGGCTTTTTGGAGATACAATGACCTGAGGTTCACCTGTGTGTCTTGGAAAAGTCTCTTTGGCCGTGATCCCTTCAGGAATGAAAATAAGCCATCAGTTCACCAAGAAAGACTTGGGCAAAACCATTTCTTTCATCTGCCATTGCTTCCTGTGTTCAGGGAGTAGATGTTGCTCTCCTTAGGAAAAGTATGTTTATTCTTATATTTACCTAAGTCATACTAGGTAACCGGTAAGAATGGCCATTTGGACTATTTGTCAAATAGATAAACACTGCTTAAGTCTGGCCAGTGTACTGCAGGCATATGTGGCAGGTTGGAAAGATAGGTTCAGCTCAAAGTGGCTTGTTCATATAGCAGTTACTAATGGCCTCTCTTTGAGCATCTTCCTTTTTTTAAGTAATGATGAAATATAAGTCAAATATCTTTCCTTCCCAAAGTTTAAAAGCATAACTACAATATACACATAACTTTTTCAACAGCTGATACACATTGTTTCAAAGGTTCCCTCCTCTCTCTCTCTCTCTCTCTCTCTCTCTCTCTCTCCCTCTCTCTCAGAAGTAGGGCTTCTAAATAAAGGATCCATAGAAGACTTGAAGACTCAGTGGGTTCAATACATGAAATGAGGGTAAGGAAAACAATCTGACATTGGCCATCAGAGAATGTGCCAACTTACACTGGGCACTGAATTGGAAAACTGAATTGACGGTTTTGGTACAACCACAAATTCCTGTGGGTTTTTTTTTTCTTCTTCAGTGCTGTGGATCAATTCTGTGATCTCGTGCACTCTAAGCAGGTGTGTCCCACTAAGCCACACCCTGGCCCTCCTGTGTGGCTCCTCATTCTCTCCTTTTCATATAGACTCGGCAGAGGTTGGGAGCAAGCCGGGCCTGCGTGCCGTGGAGCCCGCGTGCCGTGGGCGCCGTCCTCAGTGCAGCAGCTGGCCTAGGCGCTGCGTTGTTGAGTGTTCTTTCCCCTGTCGCACTAAGATGAAACCCCGTCCACTCCCACTGGAGTTACACACTGCTTCCTTCACTTCTTTAATAAAGTAAAAAGCTGCCCACAGCTGCGGCCTCGACAGACTCTCCGGGAGTACCCAGCAACACTTCTGCTTCCAAGCTCCACTGAGCTTGTTTCCAGGACGCAGCAAGTCAGCAGCATGCCAGTGTCTGTGGATGCCATCAGCCTGCAGTGAACACCCCGCAGCAGATGCCGCCAATCACTCTAAAGTCACACTCAGGAGAAAGTTGAATCTACAAACCAGGAACCCGATGCTGTGGGGTTCTATAGACTGTAGCAGCCGTGTTCTGTAGATTGTAGCAGCCTCCGCACATAACTTTTCTTCCCTTGTTAAGCCAGGAGCATTTACGTTTCCATGGAAAAGATGCGCCATTGCTTTCTCTTTAGTGTGTCTGAGTGTCTGGCACCAGTCTTGCACTACTGTTGAACGAGCACTGTGACATCACTAACAGGAAGGCAGCATGCCCAGCATGGAGACACTGGACAAGGGGAGACTCACACGCAGACAAGATGGACAAGCACAGTGAGCGACTGTATCACGCTGTGCAGAAAAGCGCGCCACACAGAGCTGATGAACTGTCTGGTTCTGGAATTTCCCAAACGTCTTAGAGCAGTTGACAGTGGATGTTCATGGGAAGCTGAAGTCCAGGTGGGTGTGTAGGGGACAATACTCATGGCCATTCATAGGTTCGTGCATTAACACCTTTGAACAATCTGGCCTTGGCACAACTGTATGGAAATTAATTTACAGTTGGAATCACTGTGGACACTTGATCCATTGCCTTAAATTATTAGCTGTAATTCTTTAACTATGGATTTCCTATTTGTGTGACAAGATTTGGAAATATTTCCCCTCCTCAAACTGATACAGACATTGTCATTGGTGCTACTAGGACATCTAGAAACATCCGTGAACCAGTGTGTAAGACCACCGAGGAAGAACCCATCTGCTCTGTAGACAGCCACACCCAGGGTACATGTGTCTGCCTGCCCCACGCCTGTGGGGCCATGCTGTGATGGCCATGATGGCGTCACACACTCACTACAAGTCTGAGCTTTGAAAAGTGACCTCATTTCTCCAAACCTCAGCATTCATGGATGCAAATGAGTCGCTGTGAACTACCAGCACATCACGCAGCAGCAGGTGATGCATTGAATGTACACCATTGGAGATGGTTTCAGTTTGTGGAAGAAAAACAGGACTAACATGGCTCTTTTTATTGATTAATTGATTAGCTTACTTTACATTGCATCCCCAACGGAGCTTCCTCCCTCCTCTCCTCCCAGTCCCTCCCTCTCACCCCACCTCCCTCTACCCTCCCTCTCTTTCTCCTTGGAGAAGGAGAGGCCTCTCTTGGATATCAACCCACCTTGGCATGTCAAGTTGCAGTAGGCCTGGGAGCATCTTCTTCTATTGAGGCTGGACAAGGGCAGGCAGCAGAGGCGGAGATGGCCCCGGGTCTGCTGCTAGGGGTCCCACACGATGACGAAGCTGCACATCTGTCCATCCCAGACATGCTGTGGTTGGTGGCTCAGTCTCTGTGAGCCCCTGTGGGCCAGGTCAATTGATTCTGAACGTTTTCGTGTGGTTTCCTGACCTCCTCCACCCCCGTCAATTCTTCTCCTATTCTTCCACAAGGCTCCTGGAGCTTTGCCTAATGTTTGGCTGTGGATCTGTTTCCATCAGCTGATGGGTGAATCCTCTCAGATGACAGTTATGCTAGCTCCCTGTCTGCAAGCATGGCAGGATATCATGAATAGTGTCAGTGGTGTGCTTTCTGTCTCTGCCTCTGTCTCTCTGTGTCTCTGTCTCTCTGTGTCTGTGTCTGTCTCTCTCTCAGCATGGGTCTCAAGCTGGGCTAGTCATTAACTGCCCATTCCCTCAATGTCTGCTACTTCTTTATCCCTGAACATATTATAGGAAGAAAACATGTGGGTATAAGACTTAGTGGCTGGGTTGGTGTCACCATCCTCCACTGGAAGCCTGCTTGCAGGAGGTGGCTCTTTCATATTCTATATCTCCTATCGCTAGGAGTCTTAGCTAGGGTCACCCTCACAGAGTCCTGGGAGCTTCCATTGCCCCAGGTTCCTCACTCATCCCAGAGATGACCCCCCACCCCTATTCCAGTTCTCTCTCTCCCTCCATCCTCCTCACACTTGATCCCCCCTCCCCTGCCCACCCCATCTCCTACCCATCCAACCCCCCATGTCTGTTCTCTTTCCCCTTCTGAATGAATTCAAGCATCCTCCCTTGGGCCCTGCTTGTTACTTGGCTTCTTTGGGTCTGTGGATTGCAGTGTGGTTACCCTGTGCTGTGTGGCTAATATCCAATACAAAGTGAGTGGATCAAAGGCCCCAACATAAAACCTGACACACTAAATCTATTAGAAGAAAAAATGGGGAAGAGACTTGACCTCATTGGCACAGGAGACAACTTCCTGAACAGAACACCAACAGCACAGGCTCTAAGATCAACAAGTGGGATCTCATGAAACTGAAAAAGCTTCTGTAAAGCAAAGGACACTGTCGTCAGAACGACAGCCTACAGACTGGGAAAAGATCTTTACCAACCCTACATCCAACAGAGGGCTAATATCCAGAATATACATAAAAAGTTCAAGAAAATAGACATCAACAAACCAAATAACCCAATTAAAAATGGGGTACAGAGCTGAACAGAGAATTCTCGACAGAGGAATCCCTAATGGCAGAGAAGCACTTAAAGAAATGCTCAGCATTCTTAGTCATCAGAAAAATGCAAATCAAAATGACCCTGAGATTCCATTTTACACCCATCAGAATGGCTGAGACTAAAAACTCAAATGACAGCTCATGTTGGTGAGGATGTGGAGCAAGGGGAACCATTCTCCATTGCTGGTGGGAGTGTAAACTTATACAACCACTTTGGAAATCAAGATGAGGATCTCTCAGAAAATCAGAAATGGCTCTACCTCAAGACCCGGCTATACCACTCCTGGGCATATACTCCATAGACGCTTTACCATATCACAAGGACACTTGCTCAACTATGTTTATAGCAGCTTTATTTGTAATAGCCAGGAACTGGAAATACAAAGATGTAACAGGTGGGCAACTCAGGCCTCATGTGGGTCCTCTAATAAGGGAAGTGGGGACTGCATCAGACAAGGACTCACTTGGCAGCTTTTTTATCACTTCCTCCTGACAGGACTGCCTTGCCAGGCCACAGGGGAAGAGGACATGCTCAGTCCTGATGCCACCTGATGAGCTGGGGTGGATGGGAAAAATGGGGAGGGGAAGGAGGAGGGAGGGAGGACAGACTGGGAGGGGAGAAGAGACAGGACTACCTCAAGGATATAGACTGTATTGTATACTACATTCAGACAGCAAGAAACCCTAGAACATCAAACGTACATTTAAAAGCGAGCGAAGCAGAGATTCCCTCGTATGAAGAGGCTGCAGTCCATCCCGCCTGATTCACAGCACCAACTTGCCACTGGCTGGCAGGAGTTGACGTGCACGCTGGGAAGCTGAAGCCTTGGGAGTCTCTGTGCCTCTCCTTTTCTCACCTTTGAAAATGGAAAGAGAAAGAACTTCAAGTTGGCACCAAGACCTATGTTGACCACCAACTGCAGTGTTCCGCACAGCTGGAAAAGACACTTATTTAGTGGCTATATGGAGTAAACTCAGATTTGAAAATTATTGGTCATCATGTTGAGGCTCCATAGTTCTAACCTGTGTGAACTTATTTTGACAAGGCAGCTGCTTTACAAGCCCTAATCTGTCTGGGGTCTGCTCTGTAGGGTTTTACTTCTGGTTAACCCTACCTCCCCCATCTTCAGCCTTATCGCAATCAGAAATAAAACTGTGTTGGTAAAAAGCAATCAACTAATGAATCTCTAGGATTTATCTAACTTGAAAACAATGTGTTGAACTGTGTAGTTAGTTTTCTGGGCATTAACAGTGTTCTGCTGTTTAGGTACTATTCACCCTCTGCTCAATATTCCTTCTAGACTCCTTACAGCAATAGACGGGTCTAATAAACAATACTGGAAACAGAATGCAGGACCCCAGCTTAAGGGGTTCCTGTTGGCATGAGAGCATGAAGTCAAGGAGGTTTGGGCTAAATATAATCACTTAAATGCATTGCCCTCCTTCTTTAACTCTCTCCTATTCTTTTTATTGAGACACCAAGTTCCTATTCTCTTGGCTGCTTCTCACTTAGCGATCCAAGAAAAAAATTATTCTTCCATGAGAAGATGCTTTCTCTCTGGTATGTGAGCAGATCCTCAACAAGCTTGTGGTGTCCTGTCATCTGGTCACCTAGCTTTTCTTCTGTCACCTTCCGGGGTTTGTGTGTGCCAGTCTGTCCTCCACACTGAATTGGTTTTCATGAAGGGTGGCGCACGGGCTGTGCCTGAGCTCATTTTCGTATACGTGGATGGTCAGTTATTGTACCTTTTCCTGAGAAGACCGCCTTGCTCCCCTGTGCTGCTCTAAAGATCCATTGTCTATCCCTGCACTGGCTTTCTGGCTTTCTAGCTTGTCCCATTTAACTGTCTGCTCGTTCACTCTTCCTTGATTACCACATTGTCTTATCTGGACTGCTGGGAAAAAAAATCACTACAGCCCAAAAGGCATCAACAAAATATGTTCATCTTTCAAAGTTCTGGAAGCCAAGAAAACAAAGGTCAGAGAGAGTCTTGTTGCTGTGTCCCCACACGGTGGAGTAAAGGTCATTGTTCCATATCTCTTCTTTCTTCTTTAAAATGGCTTACTGTTTATATAGTACAATCCAAATTATTAAGATACACATGGAACAATTTAAGTTTACAAATTACAATTAATACTTGTGTGCTTTCCTTCATGTGGCATAAGGTAATGCTTCAAGATGCCGCTCTTCACCTTCACCCCTTCCAGCTAAGGGACCAGTCGGAGGCCTCCAACCTGTGATGCCTGGGGGATGAAGTATATTCACGGAGTATGCTATGAGATGCCCATACATCAAGGCAAACATCTTCCTGGGTCCACTGTTACAATTTCTGATGAGACGATGATCCAAACTGTTAAGTAATTAAAACAAGAGCTGACCCTCAGCAAGCAGCAGCGCCCCCTGCCCACTGCCTTCAACCTGAGGGGCTGCCTGCCCTCGGTGTGAATTGACCCCGCTGGGCTCACACCCGCTGGCCTTCCCTCAGAACCAAACCTTCTGCTTGTCCGTCTCTGGCTTCCTGCCTCCTGCCCCCCCTCCCCGCCACAGACCCCATAAGAGGTTAAACCACAGCTCCTCAAACCCCAGCTACACACAAGCCGCTGGCTCTGACCGCTAGAAAGCCCTGAGAACAGCCCCTGGGGTTACCACAATCTTTTCCTTCCTCTTCCTGTCTTCGGAATGCGATGCAGAAATCTTCATTTGTCCCCCAAGCCTCTGCTGAAGAGTGGATTGGAGTTCTTCGGCTACTTTACTTTTATGAAATCACTATATACGGTTTTCTATGACTTGGGGGCTTATATCCTATCTTGTTTATCTATTTATTCACAATTCTAAACTATTTTTCTCAATATGTAGTCAGTAAATCACAGTGCCATTCTCTTTTAATTACTGAGGTTTTATTAACTTTAATATGTCCCAAACCTTCACTGCTCTTCTTTCTCAGAATTATACCAAGGGTCTTTTTTTTTTAAATTGAGCCATAGTTTTAGTATATTGAAATACATATGTTATTATAAACAGATATTTAATATGAGTACATATTAAATTGTCCACTTTACTCACCCTTTACTGCACCCTTTCCACACCCTTTGTGTTCACGTTTGGTTTTCACTCTTCCTACCCAAGGCTGAGGACAGCTTCTGTCTCTCCGTGCCCACAGCTCCTCTCGCGTCATGATTTGGAGGGTCACCAGCCTGAGCAACCATTTGACGGTGCAACCGAAACTGTTAGATGAAGCTGTTGAGACTCTGGGCCAGGTTTGTCAGCGCAGTTAGCAACCCGGGCTCAGGCTTGGACTCAGCACCAGGCCTTTTGTGCTTGTCTCCTCCTACCTCAGCTTTGTTGGAATCCAAGGGTCCAAAGCGCGCTTCAGCGCAGGTGCAATTCCACAGAGGGCCACCAGGGGTCTCCCAGCCGTGGCTCCGGAGCGCGGCTGCAGCGCGGGCATCACCGCGTCAGCCCTGACTGCCCAAAGCCTGCAGCCTCCTGGCCTTGCTCACACACACACAAAACTTCCTCGGGAAAAACAAACTCCTTCTCTGGGCACAGCTGAGCGTTGTCACTGAGCGAAACAGGGCAGGCGTGCGCCGTTTCCCGGTACCCACCGCGGATGGCGCTGGGATGGGCCGAGGGTGAGCGCGCAGAGCCCTGAGGACCCTGCTCCACCCTCCAGCTGCGGTCCCTGGCCTTAAATCCCACCGCCAAGCTGCAGAGCCGCGGCGGGGACGCTGAGGACAGGAACCAACTCCAGAGCCTCGTGGAAGACACAGGAGCCTGGGCAAGGGAGGCCCCGGGAGGGGAGAGAGAGAGGCCTGAGCCCCCACCTGCTGGACCCTGTGGTGTCAGGCAAAGCTGACACTGAAGTGCAGGCAGCTCAGGGTCCCGCCTCAGCCTCCTCAGGTCCCCAGCTCAGCATCCCGCATCAGTGTCCCCAGGTCCCCAGCGTCCAGAGCCCACAGGAACTCCGTGCTGGCCGTCACTCGGCCAAAGTGTCTGGAAAACACTGACCCAGAAGAAAATGTCTTGACTCTAGTGGCCTGATGCTTGGACTGAGTCGGAGCCCAGTCTTGAGGAAAGCATGTGGAAAAACTAAACTCTCGCTTGTTCCCCGTTCTTGGGCCTGAGGATGAGAGAGGACACATTTAAAACCTCAGTCAGGGCCCTGAACTGAGAGCCTGCTCCTGCTTGTTTTTGTGTTCGGAGACAGGCTCCTGTGACACAGGGCCCGGGCTGGCCTGCCATGTCCGTCCTCCTCGGCGTCCAGAGTGCGGGCCTGAACGTCACTAACAGACTCCATCCGGCTCCAGGGGCCTTCAGGCAGAGCTGGGCATGCGCAGTCCCCCCCACACACACTCCCTCTCCCTCTCTCTGGATTTTCACTCAGTCTGAAGACTTTTCAGAGAATAAAATCTGAATAAAAGCTGAGCTCGACAGGAGACTTGCATGTACCCAAAGCTAGATCAGAAGACTGCCCCAGTAGGTCAGAGCAAGGCTATTGAGACTCTGGTTCTGAGTTTAGTGTTTCTGTACATGCTGTTCAAGCAAACACCAAGAGAACGGCGAGAAACTGGACCATGAAGATGCTGAAGCGAAGTCAGAGAGTCCAGATCTTGTCCTGAAGTTTCCAGTAGCGACTGATTGAGTGCTCCTGTTGTGAACCGACAGACTGCTAAAAGTTTCTACCTCGTTTCCCGCTCTCCGGAATAAGCCCTCCGATTATAGGGGATAGCATCCTCATTCATTAGTTCATTCATTCATTCACTCCTCTTGCTCAGTATTCAGCTGCATGCCACCTGTGTCATCACAGTGCAGGACACCTCTGTTAGGCATTCTGCCAGCTTTGTGTGTGTGTGTGTGTGTGTCTGTCTGTGTGTGTCTGTCGGTCTGTGTGTGTGTTTGTTAGGCTTCCTGCCAGCTGAGTGTGGGTGTGTGCGTGTGTGTCTGTGTCTGTGTTTGTGTGTGTCTGTGTCTGTCTGTGTGTGTGTGTGTCTGTGTCTGTCTGTGTGTGTGTGTGTCTGTGTCTGTCTGTGTGTGTGTGTCTGTGTCTGTCTGTGTGTGTCTGTGTGTGTGTGTGTGTTTGTTAGGCTTCTTGCCAACTGAGTGTGGGTGTGTGCACGTATGTGTCTGTGTGTCTGTGTGTGTGCGCGTGTGTCTGTGTGTGTATGTGTGTGTGTGTGTGTGTGTGACTTGTGTGTAGGTTTGCACATGTGTCCGGAGGCAGGGGTGAACGGAAGCCAGGGCGTGCTTTCCTGGCTCACCCTCCACCTTGTCTTTGAGATGGTCTTTCTGTGACTCTGGAGCCCGTCTGTAGCTAGACTGGTCTGCAGTGAGCACTGGGAACCCTGCCGCCTGCCCTGTCAGCTTTCACACAGGCGCTGAGAGCCCACGCTCAGGCTTGTCCACTCTTTGCTGAGCAGCATCTCCCTGGCCATTTGTCCAGTTTTTCTTTTTTTTCTGCTGACCCATCACCTATCTGTCGCTCTTTCTTTTCTCTCTGCCTTGCTCTCTAGCTCTCCCCTCTCTATACAAGGAATATATGTTCTTTCAAAGAAATAACACCCCAAACCTTTACACTCAAAGGAACGCTTTCAAGCACAGATTTCACCATAGTTAGTGTGTGTATGGAGGGTAGTCATGGAGATGACTAGAAAAAATTTAACATGGACTTTAGTTACACTGGCTTGTTCGTTGGTAGACGCTGAGCAGGCCCTAGATGGAGACACGCCTCCACAGGCACACAACAGCTGTCCACACCCACGTGAGGAGGGCTGGCCTCGGCGGGACTGACGCTGTGAACCCTGCTGCCATTCCCTGTGCATCCACCTGATGGGCCTGGCCTGTCTCTTGGCACTTTGAGCATAAAATGGAAAACTAGTTTTACGCGGGGAAACCAGGATCTGAAGCTGTGGTTGCCTCGGGTGTGGGGTTGGGGGCACAAAGGAGGTCTCAGCCATGCTCTGGGTCTTTTGGGGGGTCTTTTCATTCTATGCTGCTTTGATCGGAGTTCTGTCTGAAGCTGGGGTTCACTCTCTGCAGGAGCTAAGGGACCTCTCTCATTCTCGAAGGCATTTCATAAGCTGCCCTTCTCCCCGATTCACCCCACTTGCCTGGCAGGCAGAGAACACGCAGAGCTGGTTCTCGAAGCAGCGGCCTGCCAGTGTTTGTCCACTTAATCGGCAGAGGTGAAAAGCCTGCCAGTCCCAGAGCTCAGATCTTGCTGCTGTGCCTCCCCGTGGCAGCTCCACAGCCACTTTGCTCACAGAAATGAGAACTGGGAATGGCTGTGTCGATGCACTCTGGAGCCCTGTTCAAAAGCAAAGAGACCATCAGCAATGCTGTTTGTTAATGCTCGCCCAAAAGAACTGAGAGGAGGGACTAGGCATCTGTATGTCAGGCGTCACAGAGGGGTATTCACTGCCCATCAAACGGTGAGAGCTGACCGGAGGCCCACGGGTAGAGTAGTGAGTGGGTAAGCAAAGTGTGGTGTGTGCAACACACACACCACAAATATTTGCTGGAGATGGAGCCTGGCTTGGGTGAGTTCGCTGTGTTCAGTCATTATCACCACAAAAAAAAAAAAAAAAAAAAAAAAAAAAAAAAAAAAAAAAAAAAAAAGAAGAAGAAGAAGAAAGAATATTTTTTGCCCAAAAAGGAAGTAAAACTCTGGCATGTGGAGGAGACAACGAGGACAAGTGATGGCTGGGCACCAGCACACACAACTGAAAAATGGAGACCCCAGGCAGATGCAGAACAGTCCAAAAGAAAAAACACCCCAACATAAAGAGCAGACAGCCAGCAGCAGGGAGGATGCGGAGCATCAGACAGCCTGAGTGTGAAGACAGCAGTGAGCGCCCTTGCTGCTCCTGCTGCTCCCGAGGAAGGACGGCTCCAGCAAGGCTGTGAATGGGTGTGGTCACCGCCTGAGACACTGGAGGTCCTGAGGGAAGTCGGCCTGCTCTTCCCAGTGGCCTGCCACGCCCTGCACAGCGCTGGCCAGCAGCAGGGTTGGGGTGATGGTCAGCGAGGTGGTAGAGGACGGGGCTGTTGAGAACCCTTGTCCACCGTGCATTTTCCACACTGTTACTGAGTGTACCCGCTGTGCATCCACAGTTACTGAGTGGACTGTGATGACCAGGTGGGCGGGCGGCGACCAGAGCGCCACCTAGAGCCCGGGAGGTGACTGCACCCTGTTCTGGCTTCGCTTTTAAACAGGGTTGTTTGCTTATGGCTAGAACCTTGGAGTTCCTTGTGTTCTGGGCACCGACTTTGCGTCTGATCTGTGTTTGGTGGCGCTGCCTCTGTGCTTTTCCTCCCTTTCTTTCAATGTAGTTTGCTGTTTTCTTTAACTTCAGAATTTTGATTAAATCCAACATTTCCATTTTTTTTTCTTTAATCCTTTATTCTCCTTGGAATCTAAGAAATTATGAACAAACCAAAGCCCACGGGAATGTTTCTCAGCCTCCTTCTTGGAGGTTTGTTGTTTCGTGTTTAACAGTTCATTCCTTAAAGTCCTGGGCTGTTGCTACATCTGTGTTGACAGGGAAAACTTCACAGACAAACTCTCTGGCGGGGAGGTTCTGACCAGTTATAGTTTGCTGTCTTGTCTTAGTTTTTAGATTATTTTAGTCTACTTATCTAATAAACTGAGTGCTTTTGGTAGGAAAAAAACTACTTCCTTTCAGTCAAGTGCATCATCTAAAATAGACTACAGAAGAACTAAAAGGAGAGAGCGCTGTTGTGTTCGTAATGCTAACAGGCACATCCGGGGGGCTCTTCCTCCATCCTCGCCCTCCAGGGACTGAGCAGCTGCTCCGGCAGAGGACCCAGGTTCAGCTCCCAGCACCCACGTCAGCGGTGCACAGCCACCCATGACGCCATCTCAGGGAGAGGTGCTACCCTCCTCTGGCCTCTGCAGGCACCATACATTCGCACACACGCACACGCATGCCCATCCACAAATATAAAATTAAAATAAAATACATATGTTTTTGAAATTACATTGCCAAGAAGATTATAATCCCCCAGGTCCTCACTTCTCAAGGCTGGAATGGGGGGATTACAGGATGAAATGTGGAGGTGAAGGTGACAGGCAGTGACAGCTTCCTGACCCCCGGAGCTCTGCAGAAACACGCTCTTTTCTCAGTGTGCTATACTGTATTTTCTATACGTTCTCAGTCGTGACTGCCTGCAGATAAACACATTGGTGGTGCACATACACATGGGACGTTAGCCACCCATGAACACATACACATGGGATGTTAGCCACCCATGAACACA